GGCAGCGGGGGGAGAAGGAGCGAAGGCAGGCAGGAGAGCGTGCCCCCCCTGTGGGTCGCCCGTCGTCTGGCTGCGTCCGAGCGCATTCCCGACTCCCGCCCCTCCCCGGCCGACAGCCTGACGAGTCGGAGGCGCCGCAGGAGCAGGGAGGAAGGGCGGCAGGCAGGCAGGCAGGCAGGCAGGCAGGCAGCCAGGAGCGCGCCGGCCCTGGCCGGCCGCTCGTCCAGTCCTGTGGCTCTGAGCTCGCTCTGCACTCCCCCCCAGCCTGAAGAGTCGGAGGCGTGAAGTCCCTATTCATACCTGGGCGATCCATTGTTCTGAACTTGTGAATGAACATGGCTGGCATGCCCATTGCCCTCACCATGGGGAGCCCTTAAAGGATTTGGGAGTGAGGGCTTGTGGGCTACATGCCCAACTCAGGAGCTGTTGGAGCACCCTCAGTTTCAGGTGGCAGGGGGAAACCATACAGTGCCTTACACCCAGTGCCTTACACTGGGACTGGAATTCCACATACTGCTGTACCACAGTATTCCCGGCAGGCAAGCTGCGATGTGGGCAGTCCATTGGCCAGCAGGCAGGTCGGCTGATGCCAAAATCTGTTGATCCATGCTGTGCCTAGGCTCTGTTAGCTGTAATCCAGAAAGTTGAGGCTGCTTCTACAGCTGTGTCTGTGGTTTCTTGCATGTCTTCTGGGCTAGCCTTGCAGTCCCCCCCCCTCTTTAGAGCTGCTGGGCTGCAATAGACAGCCAGTGTGGTGTAGTGGTTAGATGGTCAGAGTAGGATCTGGGAGACCCAGTTTCAAATCCACATTTTGCCATAGAAACTTGCTGGGTGACCGTGGGCTACTCACACACTGTCAGCCTAAGCTACTTCATAGGATTCAAGTCCAGTAGCACCTTAGAGACCAACAAGATTTTGTAGTTATAACCTGGGGTTGTCAAACATAAAGCCTGGGGGCCGGAACCGGCACATCCAGGGCTCCAGTGTGGCCCACAAGCAGCTAGTGCAAGGGAGTGAACAGGAGACTGCTTGGGAGGAATGGGCGGAACGACTCTGATTGTGGCTTCAATATGGTGGAACAACCTCATCTGCAGCAGTCAAGCAACATGGGAATGTCTGCCTAGTACTGCACCACTGGCTCTCCAGTCCGCCCATATGGGTCTTCGTCTGCAATCCCCAGCCCAGCCCATAGGGCCTTTCAGTGAGGATACAACAACTGGGATCTTACCATCTGCTGTCCTTTATACAGTTTATGTCTTGTCCCGATCGGGGACTGACGACCGTGGGAAAGGGAGCAACGGTCCGGGACGCCGGAAAACTCACCCATGCTGCGACGAGGGCAACGACCCCGGCGGTGGCTCGGGGTGGCCCGGTGGCAGGAGCGACGGCCGGGAGGAGCGTGTGCGAGACGGCGGCAGGAGCGACGGCCGGGAGGAGCGTGTGCGAGACGGCGACAGGAGCGACGGCCGGGAGGAGCGTGTGCGAAGCGGCGGCAGGAGCGATGGCCGGGAGGAGCGTGTGCGAAGCGGCGGACACCCGGGTCGCGGCGGAGGCCAGCCTGCGGAACAGCGAGGCGGTGGCCGACAGGGTCCGGCAGCGGGCAGGGCGGGCAGAGAGCTGCACGGTGGCAGAGCGAGTCCGCTTGCTGGCAGCTGGAGAGGGCCCCGCCGCGCTCCGAAGCATGAGGGCGGGACCGGCGGAAGTGGCCCGGCGTCTTTAGCAGAGCAGGAGACGACCGAGGAGGACGTGACTGGGGCTGGCTAAGGACTAGAGGAACAGATAGAGACAGAAGTCCTGGGCTCACCGGGTGACCGGAGCTGAGGCCAGAACACCCCCAGAACGGGCAAGAGTGGCGAGTCGGCCACTCTGCGTACCCCGTGGTCTGAGGTCCACTCTCCTGCTCCCCAGACGACCTTCCCTCGGCTCCTACCCCGTGTGGAACCTCCCAGAGGGTTGCGTGTGGACCACAGGAGGACGCACCCGGCAGGAGGTTGGCGACCAGCAGCCAGACGAATCGCGACGTCTCCAGTACCTGGCATTACGTTTTATGGCACACATGGCCCGGCCCGACAAAGTGACATTTATGTCAGATTTGGCCCTCATAAGAAAGGAGTTCAACATCTCTGGTATAAGCTTTCAAGAGTCAAAGCTCCCTTTGTCAGATACCTATATTTGACTCTTGAAAGCTTATACCCCCCCCCCACAAAAAATCTTGGTCTCTAAGGTGCTACTGGACTTGAATCTAACTGTTCTACTGCGCACCAGCGTGGCTACCCTCTGAAACGACTTCATAGGGTTGTTGTGAAGATGCAATGGAAGAGAAGAGAAAGATGTGCAAGCAGTTTCAGCTCCCCGTTGGTGAGCACTGAGGTGAACAGTCTCCAAGCCAGAAAAACAAGCATTCCTCCACAATAGTCTCTCTAACAGTCATTCCTAGGAATCCACTGTCCTTCCTCTGGTGGGAATGGACCAAGCTAATACAATTAACTCTGCCCTTCCTCCTATTCTCTGAGGAATGCACACTCATATGGAACTGAAGCAGATGTTGCGTCATGGTGGCAAGAAATGCCAAATGACAAAAGGCCCAAGGGATCTCTCCCTCTGTGCCTTTTGTCATTCATAATGCATTTGGTGTGTCGCACAATGGCTTTTGATCATTACCAATTCATTTGGGTCTAATGGGCACATCATATCCACCTTCGCAAGAGAGGGGAAAGGAAAACAAGCCTGTTAACCAAACAACCCGGCTCTTTTCTTCGCTGGTGCTCTGCTTTATTCACTTACACGAACCTGATTTGCCCTTCGTTGATTTTCTTTCACGTCTGAAAAACTGCGTGTTTGTTTTATTACCACATTTTGAGGCTTAGATTGTGTTTCATATTAAGGCTGCATCATTGGAAATTTTGTGATCTATATTCAGCCTGAAAAACAGCAGTTCATACATGCTGGAAATGCTTCAGATCTTATGGAAGTTTTTTTTTTAATGGCATTTGACATCAGTTGGAGATTTCAGCAGCTAGGAGCATCACTGTCTAATTTTGGTTTCCTGCTTAGATCCCACAGGGGTGTGGCCTCGATGTCAGGGTGGCAGTGATTCTGGGGCTCCATCCTGGACTTTTGTCCAGGGCCCCAGAAGCATTAAGACCACCCCTGGGCTCATGCCCTAGGCATGATTGGCATGAGTGGCAGCAGTGGGAGGAGACTTCTTCTTTCCCTCTTCCTTTGGGGGGAGGGTTGGCCATGAGCAGAGCCATCCATGTGCAGGGCCTGGGACAGGTGCCCAAGCTGCCCACTGGCTAAGACAGAGCCCCTACATGAGCTATGCCAGAGTGGGTTCTCGCATCCCTAATGCTAAGCTGACTTTGCTTGTATCCACTTGATACAAAGCAGGGAAGGTTGCATGGGGGAAGAGAGAGAGGCTTCCAAAGACACAAATTTCAGGCAGGACTAGCCATCCCACATGCCCTGCCAGGGCGTTTGTACTATCTGGCTGGCAGACCAGTGAGAGGCAGCCCATTGCCCTGCAGACAGATGGGAAGGTGACAGAGGAAGTTCAGGTCCCTCCAGCAACACACAGTCATACATACATACCCCCAACCAGACAGAGGGTTGGATCTGATCAGCTTTTTCCACTAGTGAAAACAGGAAGGGGGGGCTCCTGCTTGACTACCAAAAATGGTGTTCTGGGGATCATGGGACCAACATAGACAAAAGCCACACAGAATGGGGACTCTTACCAAAGAGGGAATTGACTGAGATTGAGGACTAGCCCACAATGGAGGTTGCCATCTCCAGTTTGGGAAATACCTGGAAGTTTGGGGGGTGGAGCCTGAGGAGGGCAGGGTTTGGAGAGGGGAGAAACTTCAGTGGGGTATAATACTACAGAGTCCACCTTCCAAAGCAGCCATTTTCTTCAGATGAACTGATCTCTATTGCCTGGAGATCAGTTGTAATAGAGGGAGATCTCCAGTAACCCTAGTTAGTAATGGGAAAAAAGGGATCAAATCATGCCTTTATGGGAGATCCTCCAACCACTGCTTTAGGACAGAAAGTTTTGCAAAGGTGCAGTTTCACCATAAAAGGATTAAATAGCAACACACTTCCCTTGCCTGAAATGCCCCCTCCAACTGCTGTTAGCTTAGATAAGTGGAACAGATAACGCTTCATATTCATGTGTAGACAAAAATGATCAGGGCTTGTTTTGTAGAAAAAGCCCAGCAGGAACTTATTAGCATAATAGGCCATACCCAACAGCAGGAACTCATTAGCATATTAGGCCACACCCTGACAGCACAGCTCATTCGCATACTAGGCCACACCCCCATTTTACCAGAAGTGTGGTCACCCAGCCACACCCACCTTTTGCTTCTTATTCTCTTTACCTTGTTTGTTGTCAAAACCCAGGGCTTTTTGCATGTTAGGCCACACACCCCTAATTGTAGCCAGTCCTAGTGAGTTGCTGCTGTTGGGTGTAGCCTATTATGCTAATGAATTCCTGCTGGGCGTGGCCAACTTGGGAGCCAGCCGGAACTCTGTTCCTCTGCGTTCCTGCCCAAAAATAGCCCTGAAAATGATACATGTGGGTCAGAACAGCAATAGAACATACTGGGGAGTATATCTGACTCCAGGAGTTTCAGCATCCCCCCACCCCATTCCAGCAAATTTCTGTTATCAGAGGCAGACTGGAAGAAGAATGCTATATGTACAAGAGCACAGTGGTGTAAGTCAAGAGATAAGGTTGCCATCTCTGGGTTGGGAAATTCCTGGATATTTGGGGAGGTGGATCCTGGGGAGTGGGGTTTGAGGAGGGACCTCAGAGGGGTATAAAGTTAAATCACCAAGGCAGCCATTTTCTCCAGAGAAACTGATCTCTGTCAGCTGGAGACCAGTTGTAATTCTGAGAGGTCTCCAGTCACCACCTGGAGGTTGGCAACCCTAGCAGGAGGGCAACTTCTGCTTCCCCTCAAGCACACATTGCAGTTTTACACACACACACACACACACACACACTGCTTCTTCTCCAGGAAAGGCGGGGAAAGCTCATACATTAATTCCTGCTTTCCTATGTCTGCTCTGCAAGTGAGAATTGCAATAGCTCGTAGAGCAGGGATGCTTTCCTATCAGCCTCCAACTGGGCAGGGAGTCTCCTGCCAAATGTGGGGTACAATCTCTGAGAATCTGGTCCCCATTTGGGAGGGCAAGATTTACTGGCAAAAATATGTTTCACACTGAAACAAACTGAAATGACTGTCAGATTGCTTCTCTAGTATGGCTAGCTTGACTTCCAAATATTAAACACTCGGACTCGAGTTTCTAGAACACCATATGAACCATTTCCAAATCCAACTAATTTGTTTGGCTAGGTCTTCCCAGCTGGTCATCCCACACCTAATGAAACAGATATTGTCAATCAGTTTTATAGCCTTTATTCTTATTTTATCTTTTATGTGTTTTGCTTTTCAAGCAAGAGGTCCCAAAATGAGCAAGAGACTTTGCTATTAGGCATTGAAAACAAAGCTTTGGCATATTTTCTTCTACTGCGGCACATATGTACAGTTTTTCAACAGTGTATTGTGAAGCATTTGTTGCCTTTTAGCAGGCAAAGATCTCTCTTGTGTATCAACTCCACATATAGTTCGCTTAGTCTCAGGTCTTTCAGCCTAATCTTTCATCCAGGCTCAACCCCACAAAGAAGAAAACTCTGCTTGACAATTTGCCTCCCTCCTCTTGGATGAGTGGGGGCTGGCTCTACTTTTTCGGTAGCGAGAGAGAAGTGCACCCCACATGCTGAAAGCCATTCTGTCACTCAAGTACAAATTATGGAGCTGACACTGTGAAAGCAAAATCAAGATTAAAAGCTGAACCCTTGGCAGGCAAAAAAAACCACAAACAACTCAGCGTGGAGCTCTTAGCCATGAACCTAACAGCTGGGGCTGAGCTTCTGGCAGTGAGAAGCTCTGTGGCTGAGCTAGCATTGCCAGCTCCAGGTGTGGAAGTTCCTGGAGACTTGGGGGAGGAGGTTGTGGAGGGGAGGGAGCGCAGCAGGGATGGGATGCCATAGAGTCCACCCTCCGAAGCTGAAATTGGCCTCCGGGGAAATTGGTCTTGGTTGTCTGGAGATCCGTCATAATTCTGGAAGGCCTCTGGGCCCTGCATGGAGTTTGACAACCCCAGGCTGAGAAATTGGCAGAAAAAATGGTATTTAGAGTGGAGCATTTAGCATTTAAGACAAGTTGCAAACCTGAACTTGTGAAAATAAAAACAAGTTTGAATTACTGGTGTGTATAGATTCTGCCCCCCCTGGCCAGTCCAGGGATGGAGGGGGAAAACTCTACACTGGCACAATACATTACTCAATCACCGAGAGATGTAAGCTCTCTGAATCTAAAACAATAGCCACCAGGAATCTCTAAACTTAATCCCTCACCAGTCTGAGATTAGAGATCCCCAGAATCTCAGTTGGCATGTGGGTTTTACACATTAGCAACTCTACTCAGAGCTGCGCAGATAATCTTACCAAGGTAGCATAATTGGTCAGCGGTCTAGGCTGCAAGATTTAGCTTGAAGTCCAGGTACAACATCAGACAGGTTAGAAATAGGAATAATCTTTTATTCAGTACAGAACTTTTTGCACAGACTACAAGGATTTAAAATAACAAGCCTAGGCCAGTTTTGCCTTAACT